TTTTCCCCCTAATGAATAGAGTGGTTGTTTGGATGTCACGTAGACACAGCTTATGTTCACAGCTCTATGGGGGAAAGAATGGTTTGTTTGGTCTGGTTGAGTTTTGAGGTGAGATAGAATGTTGCACTGTCTCAGTGACAGTATTTAAGCTCTGCCTAGAGCTCCTCCGTGAAATATCATTCAGCTGTTTTCATCCGTGTTTAATGGGAAATTATGTAATGTTTGGCTGATTTGCAGCAGTGTTGATTGTAGAGCTTACATACTTCTAATGATATAACTATTGTCACTGTTTCTATTTCCTCTACCTCTTCTGTGTTCCCATACATTCAATAAACACTAATACATTTTCCACACAATTCTCTCCTCCCCAGTGAGGGTGCAATGCAATGACTGTGTCAACTGGAGATTGAGAACAATCCAGTCCAGTAAACATTTATTAAGTACCTAATATATCAATCAGTCAACAAGCCTTTACTAAGTGCTCTCTGTGTATGAAGTTGAGGATCCAAATGGAAAAAAAATCCTCTCTTCCCCAGGAGCTTATGTCATAATGAGGGAGATAACACAAATATGTACAAGTCTATGCAGAATATTTACATAATGAATACAAGGGAGTCTGGGGAAAAGGTTCTCTGGGAGCTGATTAAAGGGGAGGTTGGGAAGGGTGAGAAAACTTTATGAAGAAGGTTGGCGCTTGAGCTGAGTTCTGAAAAAAAAAGATTCTAGGAGGTGGAGATGAGGAGAATGTATTTCAGGTATAGGAGACAGACAATACAAAGACACAGAGATGGGAGATGGAGCATTGTGCGTGCAAAACAACATATAGGCCCAGATGACTGGAATACAGAGTTTGAGGCAGGGAGTAAAGTTCAAGAACACTAATTAGGAAGAAAAGGGTCAGGTTGTAAGGAATTTTACATACCAAATGGAGGGGTTTATATTTAATTATAAAGGTAATGGGGAGCCACTGAAGTTTGTTGGTTGGGGGGATATGATCAAAGTTGCACTTTAAGAAAATAACTTTGGCAGCTGTGTGAAGGATAGAACCTATCACAATAGTCTGGGTGAGAGATGATGAGGCTCTGAACGATGACAGTGGCTTTATAAGCGAAGTGGAAGGACATATGCAAGAGAAATTGCAGAAATAGAAATTATCAGATTTGGCAACAGTTGAGTAAAGAGAGATAAGGAAGAGCAAGGTATAAGAACATTCTGTTAGGAGTTAGAGATTTAAAATCAAACCAGTCAAAACCACACCAAACCAAACAAAAAAATGGTCCCTGCTCTCCAGTTTATGATGACCGAAGGCCAAAGGTGATCAGTATCATGGCAGACTGGAAACTGTGCCTTAGGAAGATCATTTGAAGGAACTAAAGGATGCTTTAGCCTGAAGAGAGAAAGCTTAGGGGATACATGGTAGCTGCCCTCAGTGTTTGAAGGGCTGTTAAGTAAAAGAGGGATTGGTCTTAACCTGCTGCGCTCTCCAGGACTTAACCAAGAAAAATGAGTAGTACTTGCAGAAAGAATAGAAGCAAAATATACTTAACAATAGGAGTTGTCCAAAATTGGAATGGGCTTGCTTAGGATATAATGTGTTCCTCTTCCCTGGAGGTTCTTAAATATATTCTGGATAATCACATGCCAAGGATGCCACTGAGGTGATGTCTACTTAGATACGGCTTAACTAGGTAACTTCTCAGACCTTTCAAATCTGAGATTCCACAATTCTGTAATCGCACATCTAACTAATTGGATTTTTTCAAACATTTTCCCCCTAGTTGTCATCAAATCACAGACCTGACTTGGCAAGTTCACATGGCAACAACAAAAGAAACAGTGGGCAGGGTTACAAGGACACCGTTTAAATGTGGCCTAGGCAAGATAGCACAATACACCCCACAATAAAACACTTCTTTATTTAAACCCTGCTGCTGTTCTCCTTTTGGAGCCTGCTTTTTTTGTTTTTGTTTCCTTTCCCTAACACTTGGTTGCCAAGTAACAATAACAAAAAAAAAAGTCTTCTGTCATCTTTTTCCTCCCCTTCCTCACAAATGTTTGTCTTACAAGAAATTAGTGGAATCATCATTTGAGGAGTAATTTTTTTTTGCCTTCATCAAAAATATTGGCTCTGGTAAGCCATGGCAAAGATTGTCACATCAGGCATTTGTCAGACTTAGCAAACAACAGGAAAGTTGCTGGCTCATTTGCCAATCAAAAATAACTCCCGAGTTGTTACACTTGGGATCTCGTGTTTCCACTGATAGGGATTCTTTGGAAAACAAAAGGGATTCAGTCTGGACCAACCCTCATCAAAATGCAAAGCAAGTTATATCTCTGTCATAGGAGCCTTCTCTCCCTTTCTACCATCTACTACCTATGACATCTATCTTTTTTTTTTTGGTACCACTCTTCCTAAGCCATGAAATACCCTCACACTTTTTCTCACCATCCCTTGTAACATAGCCAAACCTCTGGTATCACTTAATTATAAAATCATGGCCCTAGAGCTTGAAGAAAGTTCGGAGACCAACTATTCCAACTTCTTCACTTGACTCATGAGGAAACTGAGGTCCAAGGAGATTAAGTGACTTGCCCCAAATCATGCAGTACATATAGAGGATTTGAACTCAAGTCCTCTGAATAGCACAAATATTCTTTCTGCTGTACTAAATCACCCCCCTACATCTATCTAATTGAATTTCTATGGGATCATAGAGCTTTATATGGAATTCTAAGATGGGAAGGAACATAAAAGATCATTTATTCTAATCCCCTCCATGTGGAGAAGTTGAGTCCTAAAGAAAAGGGAGAAGGGATGTATTAGGCTTACTACATACCAGACAATGTGCTAAGCACTTTACAAATATTATCTCATTTGATCACCATAGCAACTCTGGAACGTAGGTGCTTTATTATTATCCCCATTTTACAGCTGAGAAAATTCAAGCAAGTAGAGGTTAAATGACTTGCTCAGAGTCACACAGTTGGGAGGTTTCTGAAACTAGATTTGAACTCAGGTCTTCCTAGCTACTTAGTGAAAAAAAATTTTTTTACTCTTCAAATGATTCCACAAATTTCTTGTAAGATGAACATTCATGAGGGGAAAAAAGATGTCAGAAGACTTTTCTTTTTGGTTACTTGGCAACCAAGTGCCCCAGCAGTCTATCTATTGCCTCTAGAAAGGGAGTGATTGCCCATAATCACATAGGTAGTAAATAGAAGCAATTGGAAGTATCCAGAGGAAGAAGAGAAGGGAGAAGGAGAAGAAAATAATTTTTTTTAAAAAAGGCCAATTACTCATTCCTGGCTCTCCTCCTATCTGTCTGGCTGTGCCTTCTTAAGTGCCTTCTCTGGTTCTTCATGCATGTCACATCCACAAATAGTGAATTTCCTCCAAGGCTCTTTCCTGGGTCTGTCTCTCTGTTTCTTTGTCTGTCTGTCTGTCTGTCTGTCTGTCTGTCTGTCTGTCTGTCTCTCTCTCTCTCTCTCTCTCTCTCTCTCTCTCTCTCTCTCTCTCCCTCTCTCTGTCTTTCTGTATATTACCTCATTTGGTCATCTGATCAGCATCCATGGGTTCAATGCTTATCTCATGCAGAGAACTCCCAGATGTATACATCTGGCTTTAATTTCTCTGCTGAGCTATCTATGGTCATACGTCTACAACTTCTTCTTAGACATGTCAAACTGGATGTGCTATAACAATTTCAAACTCAACATCTCCAAAACAAAACTCATTTTATTTCTCCCTAGTCCCTCCCTTTTTTTAAGCTGTCTTATTACTGTCAAAGGCTCCATCCTCCTAGCCAAACAGGTTCACAGACTCTGTGTTATCTTACTTTCCTCTCACTCATTGCACATATCCAATCATTATTAAACCCTGTTTCTAATTTCATCACATCTTTCGTGTATTTCCCCATATCTTCAGTTATATATCCACCACCCTAGTCTAAACCCTCATCGCCTCTCTCTTGGACGTTTGCAATAGCTTTCTGGTTGGTCTCCTTCCCTCAATCTCACTCCACTCCAATCCATCCTCCATTCCGCTGCTAAAGTAATTATTTTAAAGTATAGATCTGATGATTTCACTCTACTTCTAAATGAGCTTTGGTGACTCCAACACAAAATATATACTCCTCTGTTTGGCATTTAAACCCCTTCATAACCTGACCCCTTCCTATATTTTCTGTCTTCTTGTACTTACTCTCTCATTGTATCTATGACCCAACTAGATGGGCATAATCAAAAATGTCACTTAAAAATGCCATTCCATTTCGTTCATGTCTATGCCTTTCCACTGGCTATCTCCTATGCCTGGAATGCTCTGTGTCCTTCCTCATCTCTGTCTCCTGGCTTCCCTGCCTTTCTTCAACACTCAAGTGCTATTTGTTGCACAAGGCCTTTTCCAATCTCCATAGCTGCTAATTTCCTGGGATGACCTTCCATCTACTTTGTTTATAATCTTACACATTCTTAGTTATTTATATTTTATCTTCTCCAGCAGAATATGAGCTCTTTGAGAGCTGGGCTAGTAAAATGACTTGTTCATGGTGACGTGGTTAGTTTCTTAATCAGGATTTGAAAGCAAAATTCCACAGACTTTAAGTCTAGCACTCTTCCCACTAAACTATGCCATAACCAGCACAAAAGAATAATAGAATCATAGATTTAGAACTAGGAGGAACCTCAAGATTACCTAGTCCAACCCATTCATTTTAAAGATGAAGTTGCTGCTGTTGTTTTCATTTTTTTTCTCCTGGAAAAAAAGTTTAACACATGAGTGAACAGCAGAGAAGAGAATATTATCAGGACAAGGGGCCTTTCCTAGTTCTTCCAGATAATCTTTGCTCTCAGTTTCTGACTGAACATCCATCATGCATTCTTGAAGCTGGGCTCATAGTTCAGAAGGGAGCATTCTAAAGACTCCTGCATTTCCCTAGAGCCAAGGGAAATATCACTCTTCCCTTTCATCTTTATGCTGTGAATGAAAAACAAAAACTGACCTCGTAATGCGCCACACGCTGAGACTCAGAGATCAGCTGAGCACTGCACACCTTGCAGTAACTTTCCGTAAACAAATCCGGGTCCAAGTCAGGAGACTTCATCTGGCTAAAATGAGACCAACAGAAAAAAACAGAAATAAATCTATTGTTTTGATATTGCCGTAACTCTCAATTAAGATTTCATAATCCTAGCTTGTTAACAATTCCATCAATCAGCAAGCATTCATTTAGCACCAACTCCACGCCAAGAAAGGTGTTAGGTGTAGGATATACAAAAACAAAAATGAAACAGTCTCTGACCTCAAAGAGTTTACACTCCAAAAAGTATAACGACTCATACTTGTAGTTCCCAAACCTGTAACCTATATGGGCCCTTAGGCGATCATGAAGACTTTTGTAGTAGAACCGTGAATCCATAAACAAGCAAGGATATCATCCACAGACAAAACAAATATTCATCCTTTATGTATGCATTGCTGTTTTTCCAAAAGTATGTAGATGCTGTTATAATTAACAAAATATAAAATCACCTGGAAGAGTTCATGATTTTCTAGTATGTATTTTATCATTTATTTTCTCAATCACTCAATACTAATCATATATCATGCAGGAGTTTATTAATTTTCCTTTTTTATGTAGAAAAGGCCTATATTAGAAAAGGTTAGGAAACACTTCCCTATACCATTAGGAAAATATGATCGTAAGTTCATAGATTGAAAGTTGGGAAGAATTTTCAAGGTCATCCAGTCAGCAATGTCGTTTCATAGCAGAGGTAACTGAGACCTAGAAAGGTTAAGTGACTGTCCCATGTGACGTAGGTGATAAAGACCAGAGCTGAAATGTGAAACTTGAACCATATTTTAGTCGAGAAATTGACCATGGTTTCCTTCAACCTTGCTATTCTTTATGGAGGAGGTGAGGAAAGAGGAGGTAATGAGTATTTATATAGTACCTACTATGTGCCAGGCACTATGCTAGGTGCTTTACAAATATTATATGATCCTCACAACAACCCTGGGAGGTCAGTGTTATTATGATCCCCATTTTACAGTTCAGCAAACTGAGGTAAACAGGGGTTAAATGACTTGCCCAGAGGCACACACTTAGTAAGTGTCTGAGGCTAAATTTGAATTCAGGTCTTCCTAACTCCAAGTCCTGTGCCTTATTGACTGTGCCATCTAGCTACCTTGTTATGGTTCCAAACTAGGTCATCGGGAATTTTTTTTTATGCTCATAAAAACACCTAACTATGTATTCTGTTCCCATAAGAAACAAGAAGTCTGGATAATTCTTCTACTCAAATAAATTGAACTGAAATCTACTGCCTCTAAGCAAAGTAAAATTAAGTCCCTGAGTTCAGTTGCTATACTGAGAGGCTGAAAGCTGAATTAGATCTGCCATTCTTCCTTAATATCGTGTACCATAATATGCAAAGAATGTACAATGTAGCCATATGCTAACAATGAATTACAGCATCTCTCTCTCTCTCTCTCTCTCTCTCTCTCTCTCTCTCTCTCTCTGCTCTCTAACCCTCTCCCCTTCCCCTCCTCCTCTTCTCTCTCCCCTCTTCACCCTCTTTTCCCTTCCCTCTGTCTTCCTCCCTCTCTCCCTCCATACCTCAGCCTGGTTCCAAAGAGCAAGTCAACATAACCCCAATTTGTAAAGAAAAAATTTAGTGGACTGCGAGCTGCCTATGAATCAAGAGTATGACATGAGAGTCAAGTCAGCTCAGGCTGCACCCACAATGAACAAGGATCCATATAAAAGGAGGTTTTAGCCCCACTGGCCTCTGCCTTGACCAGGGCCTACTCGGTGTGGCGTTCAGTTCTCGGCTTCCAGTTCTAGAAAAGAAACTGAAAAGCCAGTACGTGTTCAAAGGAGGATGAGCAGGAAGTTGACCGTGTTATATTAGGAAACTGGACATGTTTACTGTGTACAAGACTTGATAAGGTTAGGGGGAAACTATAGCAGTCTTAGAAGAGGGATTGGCACATGGTAAGAGCTTAATAAATGATTTTCATTCACTCATTTTAATAATTAAAAGACTCTAATATGAAAGAGGGATTAGACTTAATCTGCATGGCCCCAGAGGGCAGAACTAGAAGCAGTGAGTAGTGGAAGTGACTAAAAGCATAAGCTAGACTTCACATAAGGAAACACTTGCTCACAGTTCCAGCCGCCCTCTGGCAGAATGGGCTGCTTCAGAAGGTGCTAAGTTCCCTTTCGCTGAAGATCTATAAACTGAGCCTAGGTGAACAAATGTCAGTGGTTTTTAGAAGACAATATGTGATAGTCCAGGAACTGACCTGGTTAACCTCTGGGATTCAGATCCCATCTCTGATCCTTCCACTTGGGTGACCTTAAGTGAACTCCAACCTAACTCCCCTGAGCCTCGATTTACTCATCTGTAAAATGATAGGTTTGGACTAATTGAGTTCTAAAGTCCACTTTAGCCGTAAGACTCTGAACTTACGATAAATATATCCAAGGGGTTCGGGTTCATGAAAACAACACACAATTCATATACACCAGAACATACAAAATGAAATACATATAGATACACCATATACGTATGTATATGTGTATGTGTACAGATGTGTGTATGTGTATATATACATATGTATGTATACATATATATACATACACACATTACAGATAGATACATAGATAGAATCACTTAGCCTTTAACTTTCAGGGGAGAAAAGAAATCACAGTCAAATATTTTTGACTGAAGCTGCCAGAGTGAAATACAATTGTAATAGAAAGTATATGAAGGGGAGACATGTTCCCACATGCATACCTCCATTTCTGCTCTTGGACATCCTCATCCTGAGCCCCTTCCCTTTCTCCTTAACTCTCTATCACACTTCTGTGTTGTTGTTCTGACCCATCCTACCAGCTGACCTAGTTTGCTTCCGTTTTTCCCCACAACCACCTCCTTCTTACTGCACAGCCAGCTATTTTCCAATTTTCTGAACTCATATAAATGGCTGCACTAACCATTGCAATGGGGTTGTATTGGAGGCAGGGGAATTGCAGAATTGTAGAGCAGAAAGTACCTATAATCATAGAATCTCAGAAAAAAACCTTAGAGGCCACTCAGTTCACAGATTGATCCCTCATGGTCTTTCAAAAGTTATTATCAAGCCTCTCCTTGAACTCCTCTGATAATTAGCACAGACTGCCTCAAAGGTAGTATATTCCATATCTGGATACTTCTAAGCTTTGGCAAGAGAGGTCGATTGAAGATTAAAATAATTTACCCTTTACTCTGCCCTCAAATAGGTCACAGAATAAATCCCACCCTCCCACCTCCATGATAGTAGATCTTGTCAATCAATAAGTTGATTGGTCAACAAGCATTTATTAAATGACTACTGTGTGCCAGGCACAGTGGTATAACACTGGAGATACAAAAGGGCAAAAACTGTCCCTGACCTCAAGCAGCTCACATTCTAATGGGGAGACACAACATGGAAATTAACTAGGTACATACAAAATATACAGAGTATATTAAAGGTAATCTCTGAGTGGAAAGGTCCAGCAGTGAGGGGGAATGGGAAAGGGCTCCTCAAAAAAGGTAGGATTTGAGCAGGATAATGAAGGAAGCCAGGGAAGCTAAAAGGGAGAGGTAAGGAAAAAGAGCATTCCAAGAACAGAATGCACCCCAAGCAAAGGCAGGAAGACAGGAGATGGACAGTGATGTGTGAAGAATCACAAGTAGGCAGCATAGCTGGATTTGACAATGGATTTGGATATGGAAGATGAATATGATTGGAGACTCAAGGAAGACATAGACATTGCTAGTCTGGGTGGCCAGGATGGTACAAGTGCATTAAAAAATAAAAGAGAAGTCTAGAAGAGGGTAAGGTTTGAGGGGAAAGATAATGAATTCTGTCTAACAGATGATGAGTTTGAGATGCCCACAAAGACTTCTCCAATTCCTAATAACATTTCAGGCATCCTCATAGGAAATTGTTTGGAGATTCCCTCATCATCTGGAGCAGCCTCCTTTGGACACGCAAAGTCTACCTTCTTTGACTGGAGAAGGAAATGGCAAACCACTCCAGTATCTATGGCAAGAAAACTCCCAAAAATGGTCATGAAGAATCAGACATGACTAAAACAACTAAACAACCATCACCAATGCCTTCTTTGAGGGGAATCACAACCACATTTGTCCAGTCTCTCACCATCTCTTCCATTCTCCACAAAGATAATTTTCTGGCATTCACTATTATCTGGCTATTGCTTTTGTGCCCTGGGGAATGATCTCTAATCTACCTAGGCCAGGAGAATTGAACAAACTTAGAGATGTTGGTATTCCTTTACTGTATCCAGTTTCAATTAATTCTTAACCATGTTTAACCTATCTTTCAATTCTAAAGATAGTTCTTAACGGAAAAGTCAGAAGTAAAAAAGAAGCAGAGTAGTTATTCTTTTCCTAGGACATCTGTTATTATTATCTTAACCATCCTAAGAAATAGGTCTTTCCCTTCTTCTTTCTTAGTCTTGTTCAGATATAATTAGAAAAGTTCCTTTTGGTATCCCTTGGATTTTTCAAAAGCCTTTTTTTTAAGAATATTGGCCTTCCTGACACTATTCTTTTGTGTTCTTCAGTTATATACTCCTGCTTATATCTTCTGCATGTGTCTATTATTAATTTTAACTCTATTCTCTGCCCCATATTAGTCTCTGTAGGAATCTCCTATTTTCCCCGTCATCTGCATTGGTCGATCAATCAATCGACAGTCAGTTGACACTTAGACATTAAGGACCATTATAAATTAAGAATTTTTCAGATGCTTTTAGCAGAATATGACTTCATAAAATGTCTGAGCAATTTCCATAAGCTCATAATATATTAACAGCTGAAAAATAAATTGGAGATCATCTTGTCTGGACCCTTCATTATGGAAATGAAGGAAACTGAGACCAGGGAAGATGAAGTAACTTGCCTATTACTACTATGGTTTTCTTCTACTAGTTTTATGACATATCAGAAACTCATTATCTCATTTCTTCCATAAGACCTGGTGCTCTAACCCCTCCCCTTTTCACTTTATTTATAAATAAGGAAATTGGAGCCAAGAAAGATTATGAAAA